ATATATATATTATATAAATAGTGATTAAAAATGTGTAGTCCTATACATTTTAAATAGTGATTAAAAATGTATAGGACTACAAGGAATCACAACTGGATTTGGAACTCACCTGGCAATGTGGTGGTGCGTGCAGAGCATGGATGATTGAATTAGCTATGTCTTCGGGCTGAAGATACTGTTGATGAAGAACACAGTAATGTTACAAAAACAACTATCATACATCTCTCAATTCATCCTCAACGTTATTTGATGCACAATGCCTTTATATGTGATAAATATCGCTGTAGATAGTGCTATAAAACATTATTAATTCATGAGAAATATCGGTTTCTTTTAATCAGTGTTCATCAACGAAAAATAATAAGATATTAAAGCCGTTTACCTTAAGGATCTTCGTCATTTCTTTAGCTTTTTCCTTTCCAAACATATTCGTGTAGAATAGTGTATCAACCTTCCCGGGTGATATGCTCTTAAAGATCATACATGCTATTAATTATTATTCGATCAATTTTTAATAAATTAATCTGTCGACTTCATCATTCTCATAATTATCACCATCATTATCATTATCTTCATCATCATCTTAATTATCATCATTGTCATCTCATCTTAATTACCACCATCAGCATGATCACTATCACAATCATCATCATCGTCACCATCATTGTTATCTTAATTATCATTATCAGCATTTCACTATCACAATCATCATCGTCATCATCGTGACCATCAATGTCATCTTAATTATCACCATCAAGCATCACCACCATTATCATCTTTATTATCACCATCCTCCATCATCCTCTTCACCATTTTAATTATCATCATCATCTTAATTATCATCATCTTAATGAATAATAATAATTATAAACATATCATCACCTTCATTATCATCACCAGTGGCAGATTCAGGAATTTGAAATAGAGAGAGGGGGGGGGGGCAATTAGGCAAGAGGGGGGGGGGGGGGCAATTAGGCAATTTTACAGATGGAGGGTCCAGCTACCCCAGCCACACCATTGATGAGACTGGGGTACACCCATTTATGTCTGGATACTTAATTACCGAAAATGGTACTCTCAGTCTTAAATTTGAATGTACTTTTATTATTGCCCATTTTGTTTATTTTTGAAAGTTTAAGGGGAAGGGGAAGCTTATAATTTATCATCATCACCATCATCACAAAATAAAATAATTTTATACATTTATTATTATTATTATTATTATTAATATATTATTATTATATCATTATTTTATTATTATTATTATTATTATTTTATTATTATTATTTTCACAACGATGATGCTATTAATAATGCTGATGATGGCAATAATGCCGATGATGACATCACTGATGACGTCGAAGGGTAATTCGTTTTAAGTAACATGTGATGTGATGTGTATAGAAAACATTCCAATATATTGATCGGACCATCACTACGGTGCCCCCGACGTAACCGTTCGGCCAATCAATTCGCCAACACTTCACTTTGATAGTGTGGACAAAACTTATTCAACAAAAGTGTATACTGTAAATGCTAGAATTAACGCCGCATGGCTCTTATCAAACTTTTGGAGGCTTCAGTGCTGCGCTTATTCGAGAGCGGGACAATATAAAACAAAATATTGGCGTGGCACTTTCTATGTTACTTATCATACGTCATCGTAAATAAACGTTTATGGAAATGCTTGTGTCTTCATAGTGTTATCAATACACTCATATTAACACTGTATACATTGTATATATAAACCCTGTTTCTCAAAGTGTTTCATATTCTGCACACAAATTCGAGAGCGGCGCTTAGTCAAAATCAATAAACACTTTGGTGTGGCGCTTATTCGAGCATTTACGGTATTCAGATATTATAGACCAACCAACCGTAACTCTGATGTGTGAATTTTTCAATCGAAGCTCTTGTCTGAATCCCTCCACAAGAGCTGTTATCGCGTGTTTAGTTCCAGCGTAAAATCCCATATCTGACCCGACATGTACAGTATGTCCTAACAAACTAAAAAAAAAAAAAAAAAAACATTGTCAGAATGGTACCTTAAGTGAGAGTTTACGCAACTTTTATATTATTATTATTATTATTATTATTATTATTATTATTATTATTATTATTATTATTATTATTATTATTCCATTAACAGAAAATGCACCTGTTCATGAAAACAATATGCCCATCATCGACTCCTCTTTCCATCATCTGGCGTACAGCCTCTCGTGTACAGACTGCCACTCCCATCACGTTTACCTGTTAAAAACATAATCGATATTTATTAGGCCTAAGTACTCTATAAGTAAACATAATCTATCATTGCTGTTTGGCAATGCGATGACTAGTCAGACGTCGATGATTAGAGGACTTGACACCAGTTTCCCAAAACTGTTGGCCGCTCTGGGCCAAGGCCACTGATCCCTCCACCCAGATCTCCATTGGATGGCAACAATTTTGTCCCCACTTTCCCAATGCGGCTGCTTCAATTTCCTTGCATTGTCCACTCAGCAAATAATTGGTTGTCCTTTTAATGGTTCATCGGACCATCACTACATTATTTCTCATTAAAAACTATCCATTGCGCGCGCCTCTTCGTGTTGCGTTGTTCACAGAATCGTGTAGGGCTGTAGGCCAACGAACGCCAGGCGACGTGACATAGTTACCAACCGTCTCGCATCGTGCGGGACGGTTCCACATTTCAAAGTGACTTTGGATGAAACACGCATTTTGCAGAAACACATGCGTTATCCTAAATTTGTCACGCATTTAACCAATTAACACAAGTCTATGCGTGATAACGATTTATCACAAATTCAGGGGACTAAAAACCGAAAGGTCCACTGATTAATCTCAGATAAGATAGTATAATACATACTCCAAGTATCGAAATGCACGCCATCGTGTCAGGATTCAATATTTCGACATCAACTATGTCATTATCAGGAATTGAAAATATTAAAATTAGATATCCCCAATTACTAGCCAATAGAAAAATTATAACAAATATGGTTCGTGTGGGAATCGAACACACGACCTCCAGATTATCTAGCCAGATGGAAATTACAATATTACGCATGGTGATGGCGTCAAAAGTAAAGAAAAACTTATATTCAAAATAAATGTTATTAATAAATATTTTATGTTCTTATTAAATATTCAAAATAATTATTATGAATGAATACTGTTATAAGTCCGATTTATTTTTAAAAATCATGTTAAAAAAATATTCAAATTAGATATCCCCAATTTAGCCAATAGAATTTTTTTTTTAATGGGTCGTGTGGGAATCGAATACACGACCTCCAGATTATCTAGCCAGATGGAAATTACTACAAATGCTAGATGTGAGTTTGCCTCAGGAAATATCATAGGAGTGATTAATTACCCTACCTGATTGTGTTAACGTACCGAATACTTAGTACGTCCCCATATACAAGCCAATAATAATTTTTGTTTTTTAATTGGTTGGGGTGGGAATCGAGCCCACGACCTCTAGCCAGATGAAAACCACTACAAATTAAGATGTGAGTTTTCGACGTCAGGAAATATCATAGGAGTAATTAGTTGCCCTACCTGACGTGTTGTCGTACCGAATTCTCAGTACGTCCCCAAATACTAGCCATTAATAAAATTTGAAAAAAGGAACAAATGCTATTAAGATGTGAGTTTGCCTAGGGAAATGAAATGTTCTTATTAAATATTCAAAATAATTATTATGAATGAATATTGTTTTAAGTCCGATTTATTTTTTTTAAATCATGTTAAAAATAGGTTATAAAAATATTCAAATTAAATTTCCTCAATTACTAGCCAATAGAACAATTTTAAGAAAGGGTTCGTGTAGGAATCGAACACAGAAAATATCATAGGAGTGATTATTTATCCTACCTGATGTGTTAACGTACCGAACACTCAGTACGTCCCCATATACTAGCCAATCATTCCTGATGATGACATAATTAAAATCGAAATATTGAATCCCGACACGATGGCGTGCATTTCGATACTTGGAGTATGTATTATACTATTTTATCAGGGAATGTACCGGTATTTAAAATTAGAAGAAATTGGTTTATTAAAACTATAAAAATGGTGATGCAGTAACTTGAATCATGAGAGAGTGCAGTATTTCCTTGAAAGCCCTACTTATTTCACTAACGAGTTACTAAAAAATGATCAGTAATGAAATGTTTGTGTAGGTCTATATAGTTCGGGTGCTCAAATTAAACATAGGCCTACATTGAAACTCAAATTGGCTTTATTAATAAATATGTTTGCTTATGTACCTGTATTATCAACAAACACTCCCGGAAATCGTTTTAAAACAGTTTTAAAATGCTCAGATCGTCGGAGCGGCGGGGGTGGGGGGAGTGGTTGCCCTGCCGCTTGCACCCCACCCCCAGCCAACTGGGCATAAGCACTCACGCATTTTAAATCTCTCAGGTTGGTAACTATGAAGTGAGTGCCCGGATTTAGTGAGTGGCGAGAAAATGAGTGACGGCGAACCAGGGACATTTTAAACGACTAACGCACCGAATCCGAATTTTCGGATCGGAAGGCTTACCGAACCGATCAGAAACTCGAATCAGTGTGTAAAAATATGGACGCTGGTGGTGTTCAGGGCATTGGAAACGCGTTTCGGCGGAGCCGATGGATGCGAATGCAGCTTTAATTGCAAAACATTAATAGGCCTACTAAAAAAAAAAAAAAAACTTACATCCATCATGTATCGCCATTGTTCTGTTTTTCCAGACAGCAACGGACTGTCAATCGAAAGACCAGCATTGTTAACGCAAATGTCAACTCCACCAAACTTATCCTTAATTTCAGAAAACATGGCTAAGATTTCGGATTCTTTGGTGACGTCACACTTCACTGGATGAAGAAGACCAGTTCCATTCTGGGAGTTGACTTCATCGGCGATTGCCTGGTAAAACAGTTTAAAAAAAAACTAATATATGTCTTGGATAACTGTCAAAAAATAATTATCAAAATGGAAGTAACGGCCTTATCAATATATGTATATGTATATGTATATATATATATATATATCTGTCTCTTATACACATCTAGATGTTATAGGCATATATATATAGGCATATATATATATAGGCATATATATATATATATATAGGCATATATATATATTGATGCAGGGGGTTCAGATGGTGCGATCGCACCCTCACCCCCTAAATTGTATTAAGAAAAATAATTGTTGTATTCCATTGTTAACATGAATTACTGGTAAGATTTTTAAGGTATGCAGTTTTCGGGCATTCAGAGGTTCATATTCTTTAAATGTTTGCACCTCAGCCCCATGTTGGGGTTGAGGTGGTGTGTACTCTCATGCACCTATGGGTGCCTCCCCACTCACATTTTTTTTTGGGGGGGGGGTGTTGGTAACCCTTACTTTTCGTCCGTAATGCAATTTAAAGTCAAAAAGATTCTTGAAAATTGTTGAAATAAACTGCATAAATGACCCACGTTTTAACGAAAGGACGCTGTACAGCCAGATTACATCTTATTTTATAACAACATACCGGTATCTCTGCCCACAAATATAGGTGCCTTTATTACAATTTGAGAGAGGTATTAGAAAATGCATGCAAAGATAAGATTGATTTTCGGCACATGAAGTAAGTAAAGTAAAGTAAATACATCAAAGACAATTAAGTTTTGTTTTCTATGGTACGGTACATCACTGCGATTAATTAGATCGATGAAAATTAATTGTACTACATAAGAGTGTCAAAATCCCCGAAGGGGGGCCTGCCAGCTATCCCCGAGGGGAGCCTGCCAGCTATCCCCGAGGGGAGCCTGGCGCCACCCCTGTTTCTTACTTTTGAAACTGCATTACAATGTTCGGAACTTGTATACAACATTACCATTATACTAATTTGTAAGGCTGTTGTATTTATCGCATACAGCAGTAATCTTATTCTCTAAATTTATCTTTATATTAGAGTCTTGTAAGTTGCTGAATTTTTAACATTGTTTAAACTCTCAACTGAATTTTGTGTGCTTTTGCATCAGCAAATAAGTTAATAACAATTACCAAAGTTAGCAATGTTGTCTGCTACATCACGCTCAATACTAAGTAGTCCCAAAGCAGATAGTCTCGCTTTTCCCATCGTGGCTCTGAGATAATGGCAGGATGGGCTTTAGTCATGTAGTCATTACAGGATAGGATAAAAAAAAAACAAGAGAAAACGGTCGAAATGGACTGAAAAGAAATCGCAATCTATAAATTTGCTAATAAAAACAACTACAATCAGATTCTTATTATTAACTGGAAAGTATTCATGCCTGACCACATACACCAATTTCGTCGTGTTTTTTCTTAAAAGTGCTTCTTTTTTTATTCTCATTCTCCCATTGCAGCGCCCCCTCAAACCTGGCGCCCGGGGCACGTGCCCCCCACCCTTTGAACCCCTAGCTACGCCACGGTCAAAGACAGTGCTTTTCAGTTGTATATTCTGTACTACCGTACATCAAACATAATTATATCTCTATGGTTGCCTAAAATAGCTGATAAAACTCATGAGAGTTTGCTGGCGCTTTATTTCTGACTATATAATGGTGATGTGATGATGATGAATTTTACTATTTAAAAAATTGTCTTCCGGCAATCATTAATGCTAACCTTCGTGCCCTGAAAGTTGTTCATACAGGAGGAATATCACCATACAGTACAGGTCTTTATTTGTAACATGTTTTTTATAGTTGATAGTCAAGGCGTGTCTGAGTAATCTTGTATAACAACCATCAGTCCTCTCTCTCAAGAATATGTTCGTTTATCTTTTTATAGAAATTCCATAATAAGCAATACTTGTTTTAAAACTTTAGGTTAGAGGATTCCCCCATGCTGTAGCGGATTCAAGGGGAACCCAGTCGGCCAGGGCCCTGGTAAATATTTCAAAATTATTTTTAAATAATTGAGAAAAAACTGAAAATTACATTCAAATCCTGAGAGAGCCATTTCCGGCAATCTAGAGGCGACGTAATCTTAATTTTTCTTGCCCCAGCCATGGTGGGGCTGAGGTGTCTATTTATGAAGGTCTTTCTCTGGGCACCCTCTATTTCGAATTTCTGGATCCACCACTGCAAGGGCCACCCCATCTGATGTGGCGTCACGGCTTTAAAGTACAGTACCGGTAGGTCAAGTAAATTAAATAATTAAAGAAAGTGTTTCTTTAGTTTTATTTTCTATGGTACATCACTCGTATTAATTAGATCTCTGTGGTTGCCGAAAATACCTGATAAAAGATCATGAGAAATTTGCTGGCGTTTCATTTAGGCTATACAATGGTGATGGTAGGTAAAGTAAATACATCAAAGACAGTGTCTTTAAGTTTTGTTTTCTGTGTTACATCACACATTGTTATTAATTCGGTCTCTGTGGTTGCCAAAAATCGGTGATAAAAGATAATGAGAATTTGTTGGCCCTTCCTTTTGACTACCGTATATAGTGGTGATGTGATGATGATGAATTTTACTATATAAACGTGTCATTTCCGGCCATCTACAGATACTATTTCCACGAAATGCCTCCCTACCTTTCAAAACAGATCTGCGCCGTTGCACGCACCCCTATTGCCAACACCTGCACCCACTCCATATATATATACATACATATATATATATATATATACATATATATATATATATATTTATAGACAAGAAATGAGAGGTTCAACAGTAGCTTTGATTAGACATATTTATTACTAGTTTTGTGCTACACATACATGGTGCAGCACTCTTCAGATAAAATTGTCTAATTTCTTGTCTTTAATTCGCTCAGGTTTCATTACCACACGCTGGTAATATTTGCAACACGTTCAGGGACTGTCTCTTATACACATCTAGATGTGTATAAGAGACAGCCCCCACACCTCATTTCATGACTACTATACGCCACTGAAGTCATTGAAAGGGGTCGCGTCCAGCTAGAAAATTCATATATATCCATATATTTAGGCCTATATAGCGCCTTTCTTTGCAGATACGAAGCGCTTCTGTCCCTGGTCATTGGATCCACATGCTTAGTGTTGTTGTAGCTTAGTATCCAGCGCAGGAGCAAGACACCAGGTACCCATTTATACTCCTGGGTGGAGATGAAGTGCCTTGCTCAAGCAAAATGCACAGCGAGGGATTGAAACCCCGACCTCAAGGTTGGGAAACAAAACCTTTCACGCTGCGCTAAACCGCTTCTACAATACGTCTATGACCTTCGTCCCTTCCCATCAGCCCCACCCCTCTCTATACGCCCGGCGCCCACTCGAGTCACTTATGTTTATCATACAGTCCCATCTCATCTTTCTTTTCTTATCAAGGTCAATGAAAGGGTCGCATCCAGCTAGACAATTACGCCTACGGACCAACCCTTGACTCAGCGTTTTTGTTTTTTCTTGTGCAAATTGACATTCAGATTGCCTTTGACAGACAAAGTGCGAAAGTTCAACTCATCTCAATATATTAATTTCCATCAATATCAAAGTTTCTATCTTTTTTATACTTTGTTATTCTGTCTATTGTTTAAATTTGTATATGTTTTCTGGCTGTTTTTTTTTTTTTTTCAAATTAATTGTATTTTTGCTGCTTGATTATCACATTTACTATGGATGTATTTTCTATCATCAGTTGTTAAATAGGCCTTAATTAAACAGTAAATTACAATAACATTTGGGAAAGCATTTGATTGCGACCTTGGCAAGCTTTCTCACACCCGACAGACAACGTCCGTCAGTGCAGTCAAACTTGAAATAAAACTCACCCAACACTTTCAATACTAGCCTGAATATAATGAATATATATAATGCGCAGTGACACGTAACAGTTACTATTAGCCGAGACACCAGCAATCAAGATTATGCCTACTAGTACCAGCTAATTTAATAACGCTATTGGACCGAGGCCAAGAAAAATAGATTTGCAAGCTAGGGGTGGCGACAGTGAGGGCGGTGGGGTTGTCAGGGCCTACTTCTACGAGAGCTTCTCCCGTTCGCGATTTTTTCCGTACGAAACATGAAACTCCACTCGAAAATCTCATATTGCAGAATTGAGGAGTTCAAAAGTTCATCAACCAAAGATAAACGTCTGAGAGATACCCTGCTGTATGGATTTTAAAAAATACATATTGACGTTACTATGCTAATAAATTATGGACAGTTTCATATTGTACATTTTCATTAAAATGTGATACTGTATCTGATTGAGCTGCAAGAGTACTGAACAATGTTATTTGAACTTTAGTTACATAAGCCTACTGTGATTTTTTTTTTATTTTTTAGTTAGGCCTAGGTTTTGGATAATCAGGTACATACACTTTTTTTTATAAGAACCAGCAACAATTTTGCCCAGGCTCAATGTTCTTTAAAAAAAAAAAGACAGGTGGTAAGAAAGGAATAGGGAAGAAAAGACAAAAATAAGAAAAAAGGTAAGGTAATAAGGACAAGAAAATAAATATTTAACAATTAGTTAGATCAAAAAAATAAATAAAATTACTGTATTTTCAAATAACTTAACTTTATAATAGTATATGTATAATTATTGTTGATATTCATTTATTTATTAGGTGAAACTTTAATAATATATCCCACTACCTGCTGTAAAGCGCATAGATGTATTTTACATTATGCGCTACACACTGTAAGTTAACCATTATTATTATTATTATTATTATTATTATTATTATTATTATTATTATTATTATTATTATTATTATTATTATTATTAATACTAATATTATTATTAAATTACATTACAGGGCTTAGGCCAAATTCATTAATGCTGAAATGATATATATTTACTTTTATTATTATCATTAAAATTATAATAATAATAATTATTATTATTATTATCATTATTATTTAATATTATTTTCTTACTTACTGTCCTATTAATTTCATGCTTTAATTATTTTTCAATATTTCTTTCAAAATTTCAATCAACGTCATGTCATGTGAAGCGTTGTTGTTGGTTTCAGGCCTAGTGACCCTAGATAGTGGGGCCTATGGCCTAGTCTAGGGATGGGCCTAGGTGCCAAGACCTAACTCAGCTTTAGTTAGGTCTTTTCTATCCTCTTTTTCTGTAGTCTCTGATAGTACTGTACCTATCTACTACTGGTTATAGAAAGGGGTTCTACTAGTACTACTAACAGTAGTACTAGTATAACCTCTTTTTATAAGTAGATAGGTACAGTACGTTCAAAGGCTACAGAAAAAGAAAAAATAAAAAAATAATAATAATAATGGTAATGGTTGGAGACAGGGCAAAGTACATGGTCTCTATGCGCAGAAATAATAATGTTAGTATAATCATGATATAATACTATCTAAAACAACAACAGCTACTAATAAGTAGTACCGGTAGTTGTTGTTATTTTAGATAGTATTATACCATGATTATACTAACATTTAACATACAAGAAGTACAATTACAGACGTACGTTCCATAAGTCGGTAAGACTTCATAGGCCTTTCGTAGGTAAACATAGAAAGAATAGCGAGTAATTATAATACTCGAGCGTCACGACATTGTAAAGTGCCTGCACTTGTTAAACTTTGGTATCGTACCGAACTCGAGTCTAGTCAATCCGAGACGGCCCAAGTGGAGTTTCATGCAAGTGTTTCGTACTGAAAAAAATCGCCTTCCGCCCGCCCCGTCCAGGAGGAGGGGTGAATTTAAACAAAACCCTAAATATTCATAGCTTCTCCTGGGGATTCACATTCTGGATTCCCCGAGGGGTTTAAGCAAAGCAATGATGGGGAACATTTGCCAACTTGACAGGTGAAATCGCCCCCACCCCCTCTGGAAAATCCTGGCACCACCACTGCTGCGAGCCTATTTTTACTTGTTTTAATCATGGAGGAATTAGTTTCCTCCATGTTTTAATCATGAAGGATTCTAAACTAATTCCTCCATGTTTTAATTAACAGGTCATTTATCTTTTAAAAATGTATTTGTCGTGGATGGAAATTTACCCGTTAATAAAATGGACAATTCCAAAAGACAATTCCTTCATACTAATTCTCATCAGTTCTTTTGTCCTTGTTTCGATAGCTAAGCAAATGTTTGTATTCATAGGGTTAGGCAGTTACCGTAACTGTTCCCTGGTTATAGAGTCATAATTCATTTAAAACATGTTTAAAATGATCGATGCGTTGATTATTTACTTCTTATTTACGATCCATAGCGGTCTATTCAAATGTTATGGGAAGGAATTAGTCACACATCCGTTAGCATGTCAATGGAAATTTTTTATCATTCTATCTATATACTGATAGTTAGTAACTTATTAAAATATTATAGAAATTTAAGGAAACTAAAATATTGAATTTTATTTTTTTTAGCTCACAGTTGGTATGCCTATTGAATCACGTTTCGTGACTCTAACCCGCGACATTCTCAAGACACCCTCCTTAGTTTATGCAGGGAATAGTGAAATTAATTTCACTGCTCCCTGGTTTGTGCGTATCTACAAAGTTGTCAACTCTACCTGGAGATTATGAAAAACGTCATCTTTTACACATCCTACAACCTTCATTCCATGCCCAACCAACTTCCGAGCGACTTGTTCACCTATACCAGAGGACGCACCCGTAACCAAGGCCACTCGTCCAATCCAACGTTCTGCCATACTTGTTGGTCACAGAATAACGCAAGAATGACAATTTTTGCAAAATTTGGCCTCCGTACTGAGTAGGTAGGTATACACGTGTGAAAATGTTGCAATATCTGATAAGGCGTATGGTCCGATGGTCCGATCACGGACCTGTAGTTTTCTAGGTCCCATCCCACGGCACGTGCACGTGGCATTATAGTACCGCCTACTTTAGATCTAACGTTCTCATAAAAGGGGATTTTTGGTGTTGACGTTGTGTCAGGAAAACCCTTTTTCAATTATTAGATATGCACGAAATCTTGACAAGCTGTGTGTAGGAACTTCCGATTGATTCTTACAGACGAGTTGGGTTTTCTAAAAATAAAAAATGTTATGGCTAAAATTAAGGGGGTATCCGATTGCAAATCACGTATGGCGCCACCACTGACGGTCTTGACGACGTAGCCTTGGTCCCCGGTTAAATTCGCATTGCTGCTTACCTTGTTATGTGTTTCAGCTGGAAGGACGTTAATGTGAATTTCATAGCGGATGAGGCGTTTAAGACGTGGGTCCCGTGTGCAATGTGGCCCATCACTTCGGAAAAGGGTAGGGATTGTTTTCCGGACGCGATTGCCCATTTAACTACCAGAATGAACCCCTAGAAATGCGTCTGCATGCCTATCCTTAGTATGTCAATGCAATCAAACCAATGAACGCATAATATTACATAAACCGGGTGTTTTACTATCGTTTTCATTTATTGCTTCGTTTTTATCATTTCCAATCGCATAGTTAACCCATACAGATCACCATTGTTTAATGAAGAGAGATAGTTTTTAGATGGAAATATCAGAAACAAAAATGAAACAGTTTTTGAATAACGCTACATATGAAAATCAAAACATGGCATAAAAATGCATTATATATATACTGTCTCTTATACACATCTAGATGTGTATAAGAGACAGATATAAAAGTGTCATTTCCGGCCATCTGAAAGTACTATTTCCTCAAATATTCTCACCTTAGCCCCAACCATGGTGTTGCTGAGGTAGTTGTGTACTAACAGCTGACTAACAGCTGAAGTGGTAAAGTAAATACATCAAAGACAATGTTATCAAGTTTTATTTTCTATTATGGTACATCACACATTATTAATGAGGTCTAAGTGGTTTCCGAAAATCGCTGATAAAATATCATGAGAATTTGTTGGCCTTTCATTTTGACTATATAATGGTGATGTGATGATGATGATGAATTTTACTATATAAAAGTGTCATTTCCGGCCATCCACTACAGGTAGTATTTCCACGAAATGTCCCCCCACCTTTCAAAACAGATTTGCGCTCCTTTTGCACGCACCCCTACCGCCAAATCCTGCATCCGCCCCAGGTTGATTATATAAACACCATCAATTATTAGGTTTTGCTCTCGATCAGATGCCATCAGCTTAAAACAATGTTGAATACCATTCCGAGGCAAAACAACGTATCTTCGGCTGTTTTATGTTTCAAATTTTGTAAGTGGCGGACTCCCAATGACTTGAATAAAAATATAAATTTTAACAATATTTTATGCAACAGAACGACAGCCACGCTTTCTAATGTAGGCCTAACATATTTCTTAATTATTTATTTAACTATAATATTTATATAATCAATCAATATCATCGGACTAATGAATCATTTTTTAATTTTCATTTTATTTTATTTCTTGTCATTATTCCAAATTTGGAATTAGAAGTTCGGCAGGGACCGTGGAGACCCACAGTGGCCATAATACGGTGCCAGTACCATGCCCACTGCCTTCCAGTTCAAAATCCGATGTTGTAACCAAAGTTTTCAGCACAAGAAGCAGGAACAGTACCCTCGGCCAAGCGCTCAGCTATGTATTTTTCAAAAAAAAAATCAGGGTCAGGAAAGCAGATCCTGTCTCTTATACACATCTAGATGTGTATAAGAGACAGAAACACACGTCGTCCTCGTAGGTAGGAGTGCAGTCTCCGTGAATCGGTTTCCACACGAAAAAATTCAACGGGTAGTAAACCAGGTATCTGGTGAAAGTTATCGAACGGTACCAGCGCAACCGTTCGCAAAACAGCTTGGCCGTCATCCTATGGAAAGCGTAACCGAGAATATTTTCCCACGTTCTGAAACTGTCGCATCCGTCTATCGTGTGCCACAGCGCTTGAAAACGTTCCATGCTCTCCTGAGCTTTCTCTCTCCTACCTTTGTTGATGATGAGGTGCTTGACGACCTTCGTGATTTCGTAGAGAACATGGCACACCCGACCCGTGATCTCCCTCGATGCAACTATCATCCAGCTGCCGACCAGACAGAGAAGAGCGACGATGATCGCTATCGGAAAGTACGCGTGAAACGGTAACCATCTGTACGCGGTTTCCAGCAGGGCGAGTT